CTGATTTGTTCCTATTAGAATTTCATAGGTTCCTAAATTTTTCTCATTCTTCCAACATTTTCCTCATCACTGTTCAAGGATAAATTTCAATTTAGCCTATTGGTACCATGAAACTGATCTTCTAGTGGTAAGAAAATATATTCCTCCCTGTACGGAAGCCTGATGTTATTCTGTGTTATGTCCTGAGGTTTTCAGGTTTCAGGTGCAAGATACTTTTGGATAAACTAACATGAATAAAATCAGTCATCTGTGCACAAATATACTAGATTGCATATGAATTATATCTATTTTATTGTAATGTTGAAATCCTTTTATTTGGAGAAATAGTGAAGAATTTAACTCTTTAGGGAGAGGGCATAGCTCAAGTGGTAGAGTGCATGCTTAGCATGCACAAGGTCCTGGGTTCAATCCCCAGTACCTTCTCTAAAAATAAATAAACATCTCCAAATAAAGTAATAATAATAATAATAATAACAAAATAAAAATAAGATGCAGCTTCTTTAGAACACATTAAAAAAAGATAAAGAATTTAACTCTTTAAGTTTCTTGTTTGAATGCTATAATTTAAGTGATTGATTCTCTCAGCTGTTTGTCTACAAAAGTCCTTGTGTATGCCTATTTCTCTGGCATAATTATTAATAGCACCCTCTTTTACTCTAAAAAGCACCTAAGTTGAAAAATACATCATCCAGACACTATTGATAATACTAGGATACTCACTGTTCTTTTGCATTTTACATAGGATTGATAAGCTTTTTTCTGCCCTGTTTTCTCTCAATCCACCTCCCACACAGAAATACAGGATGGGTGCGGAGAGAGAAATGTGTGTACATGGGGGATGGAGTTAGTAGGAAACAAGATGAAAGAATTATGCAGAACATCTTGGCAATCAAATGTTCACTTTCTAAAAAGCATTTCTAAGGATTTGAAATATTTGAATTTTTATATCGTAAAACGTTTGTTATAATATTGGCCAACTCCCAGCATCTTTCTCTGTTATTATAATTACATTTCATAATATATTCAGTTTGCACTTTTAAAGCTTTAGCTCCATTAGCTTGTACATGCTATCAGTTTTTCAGGTTTGTCTCTTGAAGAATATTTGAGTTCCTGCTATTTGTCCTGTAATTGTATTTCTGTTACATTTTTTAATGCATTTGACATTTGCAAATGGATTGTTTATTAGTTATGTGACAGTTATGGTCTTATATGTGGCAGGAATCAATCCATCTGGTGTTTTATCAAACCAATCTGAGTTTGAAAGAGCATGGGCCATGAAAACAAGTATATCATATATTCACAGTGCTTCCAAGGCTTTTTTTTTAATTGAAGGATATTCACTTACAATGTGTCATTTTCTGGTATACAGCGTAATGTCCCAGTCATCTATATATATATATACACACATATATTAGTTTTCATATTCTTTTTCACTAAAGGTTATTACAAGATAATGAATATAGTTCCATGTGGTACACAGAAGAAATTTGATTTTTATCTATTTTTATATATAATGGTTAACATTTGCAAATCTCAAACTCCCAAATTTTTGATTCAACATGTATTTGGGCTAGGAAATAATCATGTAATAGAAATCTCAGAATGACAGAATTTCCCAAGGAGAAGATATCTGTGAAAAAGGGGAACTATTACAGTTTAGTATAAAGAGCATGGACTCCTGGACCACACAGGTTTCTGCATTTGAGCTCCATGGTTTACTTGCTGTGTGACCTCCGTAGGCAAATGCTTAACTTGTGTGTGTTTCAGTCTTCTCCTTTGTAAAAAGGAGGTAATGAGGCACACTACACTTTGTGGAGTTGTTGTGAAGATTAAATAAGTTGTTAAATGTAAAATGCCTAGAACAGTTCCTAGCACAGGGTAAGCACTCTATGTTTGCTATTACTGTTACTGTTTGTGGAAGAATAGCTCAGTTTCTCTCTCTCAGACTTAGCTGGTAACGTTGGATGTGTCTCTGCCTTTATGTGAAAAGGAATTGTGCTGCTGCTTGTTAAAGTGTGCAGGGTGTGGGCGGGACATAGAAGACATGGTTACCTGATTAGGAAAATGGGTTTACACGGAAATCTTACCAACAAACACCTATGAGAGGACCTGTTGGTAGAAACGTCAGATTCTAGCACTTTCTCCCATTCATCTCAGTTTTCTCTTTTTAAATTAACTTTTTAAAATTTTTTTGGTTTATTTTTTTATATTATAGTTGATTTACAATGTCGTGTGAATTACCTTTATTTGTCCTTCAAGGTCCAACTTATACATCTTCCCTTCATTCACTCATCTGTTCCTTCAGTTAAAAATAATCAACTCCTCCTCTTCTTTATGTGCACAGATTTCTGTTTATGCCTTAATATAGCACTAATGATGGCTAGCCAAATGATGGAGATTGTGGCATAGTGAATACAAGAACCCTCTAATCACACCTCCTCTTGTAAGCTCTAATGTTAGTTTATTGTGGGGTTTTTTGTTGTTTGTTTTTGGTTTTCATGGGGGAGTAATTAGGTTTGTTTATTTAGTGTTTATTCATTTATTTACCGCCATTGGTACTGGGGATTGAATCCAGGACCTCGTGCATGCTAAGCACACACTCTACCTCTGAGCTATACCCTCCCCTCCATTGTGGGTTTTATTTCATACCCTGTGACTTGCTTTTCTTCTTTCTTTTTCCTACTTTCTTTTTTCTTCCAGTTTTATTGAAGTATAACTGACACACAGCACTATATAAGCTTAAGGTATGCAGCATGATGATTTGACTTCTATGCATGAAATGATTACCATAAGAAGTTTAGCAAACATACATCATCTCATACAGACGCAAAATTTTTAAAAAAAGGAAAATGTTATTTCCTTTTGATGAGAACTCTTAGGATTTACTGTCTTAACAACTTTCATATATGAGCTGCAGCAATGTTAATTGTGTTTATCGTGTTGTACATGACATCCCTAGTATTTATTTATCTTATGACTGGAAGCTTGTTCCCTTTGACTGCCTTCATCCAATTCCCCCTCCCCTGCCTCTGGTAGCCACAGATCTGACCTTTTTTTCTATGAGTTTGTTTTTGAAATATAATGACCTACAACACTGTGTTAGTTCCTGGTACATAACATAGTGATACCGTATTTCTATACATTTCAAAATGTTCACCATAATAAGTCTAATTACCATATTTGCTTTTATTTCTAATGCCCATTGTTGCAGTTAAAGGAAATACAGTTAGGGACTGAAACTTCTGCAACTACGCATCTAAGCATTTCATGATTAATTAGTAGTGTAAATATATCTCCTTGGACTTTTGCTACTGAAATAACTTATAGAATTGCAATGCTATAGTAATTGATAAATGAAAATTGCAACCATAGTTTATCCAGGGCTGAAAAACATATAAATATTTAATATACTTTTTGAATTGTATTCTATCTATAAAATTAAATTTCGTGTTTCAGTTAATTTGATAATAGTAGAATATTTTTTGAAGGTCATTGCAACCAGAATGATATCAGAAAATAATGACATGCCATTTTGTAATATCTACTTTTAAATGGACCTCCTCTTAGATAATCTTATACAAAAGTTACTGTCTTTTTAATAAAAGTTACCTGTACTCCAGTTTTTTTTTAATTATTTTATTTCTGGCTCATAAGCTGTTTTACTGATAAATCTTTGTTGGTTGACATGTTTTAAATTTTAAATTTGTTGTTAGCATCACCATGCAAAAGATGACATCGAATATTGACACAGCAAGTGTGACCACTAAGCATTTCTAATAGTTATTAGATAGATTTTTTCAAACTGGGTTTTCATGACTCCCTACTAGCATTCTCTATGAATAATAAAAACCAAA